CGTTTTTGAACTTACAATATTGCTAAATCTTCATTTATGATATAAAACCATAAAAAATGAGTTACGGGATCTTTAAATGTATTTTCCTATACAAGTGTTTATAAAATATTGACTCCCGGGCGGGGCCAATTTTGACCCAAGGTGCATGTTTTATATAATTTTTGTAGAAGACTACAAGGTTGCTACATACATGTAAAATATCTAAGCTGTAGGCATTGCAGCTTTTGGTGAGAATTCTTTTAGTTATTTTTACTATACAAGTCCATATAAATAAAGTAACCCCCAGGGCGCAGCCAATTTTGATCCCAAGGGCATGATTTATGTGACTTTAGTAGAGGTCCACTTGATATTGCCAAAGTTAAATGTTTTTTTCTATATATAAGCCTATGTAAACTAATACGGGTCCCTTTTTACCACAAAGGCAAAATTTATATAACTTTTTGTAGAGATCACAAGGTGATGCTACATGCCAAATATCAAAGCTCTGGGTAAAGTCTATTTTCAGCCCCTCTATGCATGTAGAGGACCATCTGCGGATAAAGCCGTTCGGTTACTAACGTTGGACTGTGAATCGGGCGACCCAGGATCGATTCCTGGACGACGCAGGCCACTTTCGTTGTGATTGATCATAAAATCCTTTCTTCGGTCATTCATACTGTACATCTGCTCAGCCATGTAAAGAAGTTATCAGTTCATTCAACGATCCTAAAAGCTTACCCTGAGCAAGCTCAGGTGAGCTAAAAACACAAAAGGGGGATGATCAATAATAGTTTAAAATTAACCTACTCACATGCAGTCATTAGGTCCTCCTGATTATAAATAATTATTACAGTAAATATTGTTTTACTTAAACTGTTGTGAACCAGACTTATACTCATGAATAGTACAGACGTGTACATGAACCACTCAATATTCATTCATGAAACGCGCTTGCGCTGAAATATTCGTTCAAAAGCAGACGACAAAATGACATTTTCATTTCAGTCTGCAAGGGATATAACATTGTTATCTGAAAATCACCCTTTTTATTTTTCCCCGATGCAGTGTACATAGTGCATTCAAAAGCATTCGTTCGAGATAAGCTTTCAATCAAAATATAGTGACATTTAATGCAAGTGTTAAATCAAACAGCACTGCTATGATTTCATTTCAATTTTGTAAAGTTGAATAGAAACCCCTTCTACAAACTGATAAGAGCTCCTTATACAAAATAGTGCCTTCAGCTGTAACAAAAACCACGAATAGTCAGGTCGCTTTTCATTGGATAATCGTGACGTTTATATAAACTAAATACAGGATGCTGTTTATTTATGAATTGTTTTTGTTGAGAAAAAAATCCTTACTGTAGTATATTGATTATTGACAAGTTACATGGTCATATATAAACGATTGTTTGCAGCAGTTCAGGTAATATATGACAAACAACAGTTTATACGTGTATATGGTCATATAATGTGTCAAAAATCTTTTTAGCTGATAATATACATGTACTAGGCAGGTTGAACACCACAGACACAAAGTCAAATTTAACAAAAACTTTATGAATCATATTATTTACTGTAATTATTTTAAATCGTCTGACAACTATAATATTCCATGAAATTGATTGGACTCAATGTTTCACACCAGCGAAATTATTTTAATCCATTAAAGTGAATTGGTCTACAATGTGCACATTGTTCGTAAGAATGTATTTCAAAAATTGATAAAAAAAACACTATAGAAATGATTCTTATAAAATATTGCTTGAAAGAAATAAACGCTGATAAGATCTAAGTGGTGACATTGCTTTTTCAATCCATAAATTTTGGTCACATTGCCTTTTTAAATCGATAACATTATGGCCACATGGACATTTTATATCCACGGCAATTTGACCACATGACCATTTTAAATCCATGACATTTTGACACATGGCCTTTTTAAATCCATGACATTTTGATCACATGGCCTTTTTAAATCCATGAAATTTTGACCACATGGCCTTTTTAAATCCATGATATTTTGACCACAAGGCCTTTTTATATCCATGACATTTTGACCACATGGCCTTTTTAAATCCACGACATTTTGACCATATGGCCATTTTAAATCCATAACATTTTCACAACATGGCCTTTTTAAATCCATGACATTTTAACCACATGGCCTTTTTAAATCCATGACATTTTGATACATGACCTTTTTAAATCCATGACATTTTGATACATGACCTTTTTAAATCCATGACATTTTGACCATATGGCCTTTTTTTTTTAAAAATCCATGACATTTTGACCACATGGCCTTTTTTTTAATCAATGACATTTTGACCACATGGCCTTTTTAAATCCATGATATTTTGACCATATGGCCTTTTTAAATCCATGACATTTTGACCACATGACCTTTTTAAATCCATGAATTTTGACCACACAGCCTTTTTTAAATCAATGACATTTTGACCATATGGCCATTTTAAATCCATGACATTTTGACACATGACCTTTTTAATCCATGACATTTTTACCACATGGCCTTTTTTTTTTTTTAAATCCATGACATTTTGACCACATGGCCTTTTTAAATCCATGACATTTTGGCCACATGGCCTTTTTAAATCCATCCCATTTTGACCACATGGCCTTTTTAAATCCATGAATTTTGACCACACAGCCTTTTTAAATCAATGACATTTTGACCATATGGCCATTTTAAATCCATAACATTTTGGCCACATGGCCTTTTTAAATCCCTGACATTTTGGCCACAGGGCAATTTTAAAGGTCTGTTCACACAGCCGTTTTTATATTATCTAGTTTTGATCACATCACTGTCTTTTAAATACAAAACACATACCAAGAGCTTAATTCAAATTTAATAGCATAAATTTCATTTACATTTGATGTTCAATATGCAATGTAATGAATTAGAATAAAACATTATAACATTGAAACCTGCTTTGTTGATTGTTTCAACAAAATTACAATGTACTTGTACACATTACTGCATTTGAAAATGAAAACTATAAATTCATTGTTATAAGTTGATGTTACCAATCTCCATGATGATGACACCACTACATATATCATCATCAGGTCAAGTTTGCCACTGAGAGATGGACTTTTCTTGTGTAACAACACTGTCACACTATTTTAGTGTTCAAATTAAACTATATTTTTTTATTTTGTGTTTTTAATTTTTTGTTTCAGAAAAAAATTATGTATAGTTTACAAATAAGTGATTTACACATGAAATAAATGCAATATCTTCTAAGTGGAATCATGAACAAAAGGTGCATTTAAATTTTACAAAATTTGCTTCCTGATTTTACGACTTTCTTAACAATTTCAATGAAGTATCTTGCAAAACGGTCTTTTTTCAAAATTCATTAAAGAAGTAAAACAATTTATATAAACACCAATCAAACAATACTGGCACATGTAGATATTCATCATTTTTTTGTTTATTTCGAAAACTTATACAGTGTACATGAGTAAAGAGCACTTTATACAAACAGCACAAAACTGAAAAGCACAATTGAAATTTTTAAAATGGATCAAAGACCCTTACCTCTGACTTTAGAACCAAGAAATATTTTTGGTACAAACAAAGAAAATTAAACGTAAATTGCACATGAACTCATATTATCACAGAAAAACTAAACAATCTAGTAAATTCTACGACTAAATTCTAGAAGCAAAACAAAAAACATCAACAACAAACATTGTCTAAATCAGAACATTTTTGTAAAAATTATGTGTAAGCCAGTCTGAATTCTTCTTAAATGAAAACTGAAATAGATTCAAGTTTTATCACATTTCAAAATTAATGGTGAAAATGTATTTCTGACTCAACTTTACATTTTACCCATAACCTCTTAATTTGCGTAATTAATTTGCTAAGCTATCAATTAGAAACACTCTTATTTTAAAAATTAAGGAATTTCAATATAAAAAAATTCAGCTACAGCAGTGTAGGGCCTTGTCAGACTACACGGATGTGCAGGCTCACCTGGCTCTATACTGTTGGCAAAGGCTTATCACTTCTGTTTCTACCAGGTTTCCGGTTCATCAAACAGCCTCATATGTTAAAATGACTAAGGTTAATACTAAAAATAGAACAGTGAAATGAAAATAAATCTTGATTACTAATATATGCGAAACGAAAATGACTTTTTTGACCAGAATAAAACAAAAATACATGTCTTATACTACTAATAATAATGAATGACAAGTGTGTATTATTATTGTATACAAAATTTACAAAGAACAAAATAATGAACAATTTCCTAACACCATTACAGGGTGATGAGAACGAGACAGGTTTAGACAAAGAAGACATAATAACTCCCCCCACCCCCTTCCCTCCCCCCACAAAACTTTGCATCCATCAGTAAGATTAAAATACATATGTACATTCGAATATATGGAATAACTTACACTATTTTGTACTTTTGATAGTAACTTTTTTTTTATCTCCTTTTTTTCTCAATTACAATACAGTATTTTTCTAATTTTTTTTGTCTTTTAGCATTACATGTTGTTTTTTTTTGGCTATAATATGTACTACCTATATACATATTTTATTTACAAATATGCTATATATCTAACGTATAAATGAGTACAGCAGAAATATTTAAAGTGTGCCTATTACATTGTAACGACTAAATACAATAGTGATGAAATTGCCTGAATAAAGTTTCTTAAAAATCTACACAATCCCTCACTTCTGCCATACTAAAAACTTGTTTTATCTCTTTTCACACATACATCAATTTATGTACATTTCTAATATCCATGACCAGAATATGACTAAAATACTTGTCTAAATGAATAACAACCTTGTAATCAATGTGGCTGTACCCTTTAAAGCTTTAATTTATTAACTGAATTAACCCCTAACCATTTTAAATTTCTGGAACAGACTTGTCATTTTTAAATCTGGAATTCGAGGGAAAACATCAAATAATCTATGGATTTTATAGCGAGCAGACGATGATCAGAGAGCACGGATTTGCTCATTAGGGTACTTATAGTGATTTAGTATTTTGTATGGAAGTCAAAATACAACTTTGTTTACTTATTTTGCTACTTTCATGACAAATAATTTCACATTTAGCGCTACTTTTTCGTGTTATAAGCATCTAACATGCTTAAATCCATTACTTCAACATTATAAAATTCAAGTTCTTTCTTTCTAAAGAAGTAAAAAAATGTTCGTTTTCGAGACATAATGTGCCTTTAAATTTAGCATACATACAGTTTATCAACATTTAAATTTACTAAGTATTACCAGTTTGTTTTGTACAGCAATTACATTGTCTGTATATGTACCTCTATAATAACCTTAGTATCAACATGATTTATATCTAAGTTCTATCACCCTAGTGCAGATAAAATTTATCTAACTAAGTTCTATAACCCTGGTGTAGATAAAAAACATATGAATACTACATGTACTGTACTATATACAGTTTAAAAGATTATTAAACAATTTAATAGTATCCATTACTCTGTCTGAAAATTAAAAACATCATTATTCCATGTTTCATGTTCAGATAGCCTGGAATTCTTTCCCTCCAGAATCATGTCACTTTTACAAAAATTTAGATTAAAAAAACAATACATTGTACATGTATCAAAAGTGTCAAATAAACAAATAGAAGTAGTATGAGCTAGCATCACTCATTAACACGCTGGTGGTCAATATCATATCCCTTAGACTGGTATATACAAATATCAATGGTACTGTTACCGGGACTGTAGGTAAAACCATCAAGTAAGCAACTGTAAGTGTGATATTCTGACTTTAGTGCAGTATAGAGTTAACTTCTTATCAAATATAATACCAGTTAACCCCTTACTGCACTAAGGTGAGGACATCTCAAATATGCAAAATAAGCAGTTACTACGAAAGTAAAAATAGTAATTTCTTTCATATTTTGCATAACCTTTCCCGAGCACTACATGAATGTCGAAAATAATACTTTTTCAAAAAAAAGTATTTTCAAAAGTTTTGATTTTTTAAACCATGTTTACTTAACTGGATTTATTCAACTTTTAAGTTAATATAATTTTTGTGCTTCATCAATAAGCAGATTATTCAAAAAATTTGTTAATTTATCATAACAAGATCATTTACAATTTTTGTTTTATGAAAAATTACTAAACTAAGGGAGTTAAGGCAAAAAAGGTACCTAATCTCAATTTGATTTTAAATTGTAAAAAGGTACCTTCTAATACTTGTACAGACCACCTCAATAAATACCAAGAAAACTTGTATACAATACATAATATGCTTAACCATTACTACCTAATTCACATACATCTTTAAATTACAACATATATAAAAATTTACCCTATTTTAAGCGAGCTTGCATATGAAAAGAATATGTCCACAGATTAATAAAACCTGATTTTTTGACCATACTGACAATATTCTTACATTTGATTGTCCAATTTGAATTTGAAATGGTCAATAATCAGCTATATTAACCTATAAACAAAATTCTTAGAAATCCTTAACAAGTTCCAGTGAAAAGAACAATGCTTACAGCTTAAACTTAAAGCTATTTTGTTACAAATAACTTCCCCTAAAAATATTTGCAAAGGGAAGCAACCTAGTCAAAACTAACAAAGAAACACAGTTGTGTACCTTTGAATATATAGCTACAAAGCTTTCAATATATGACAAATTTGTCCAAACATGCAACAATTTATATACAATGTATTGCTGTATTGACAAGGCAAGAAAAAATAACTCATTCAAATGTATTTTTAATAAAAACATACCCTCATTTATTGCTTATTGTAACAGCAGAAATGACTTATAAACTATTAAATAAACCTAAATTATTCTAATTCTGTTTTGATTAAAACTCTTTAAAATTGTGCAGGAAAAAAACCCATTTTTTTCTATCACATATTTAGTAAAATTAAGAAAGATACAAAAATGCTTTGGTAAGGTATCTTAAGTTGATAGCACTCATGCATTTTACATTATGGTTTGATAAAGCTATAGATGTTTGCATGAAAATAAATTGATAGGTATCATTGATATACGATGCCTTAAAACACTCCACAGGTCTTTGTATCTTTAAATACCTGAATAAAATTATCAAGTTTTTATATTCACCTAGTAACCATAGATTCAAACATATCATCCATTGCTTCAACACATGCTATATTTCATACAGCACATAGACCATAGTTTAACTATAATATAGACCATAGTTTCACTAATGACTATACAATCAGTGACTTTCAGTATGACCATAGTTTCACTAATGACTATACAATCATAAATTAACTTCCAGTATGACCATAGTTTCATAGAACTTCAGCACTTATGACTATACTATCAAATAGTGATGCTATCAGTATGAACACACAACTGTAGTTTGAAGGACATTTAAATGAAATTATGGCTCTACGGAATCAAATGGCGATTCTGAATCTCTCTCTTCCACCACAATTTTGCTGCGTCGGCAGAAACACAAACAACTAGCAGCATTTGTACACTGATCTACCCTGGAGAACTGCTGCTTCTGCTGGAAATTTCTCTTTGATTTCTTCGACTTAAGCGACTGCGCCTGAACGTGATCAAAGTAGGTCAACTCCTTCATGTACCTGCAAGTGAAATATGGTGAAAGTTGGTCATGAACTTAATATGTGAAGTTATTATTACTATCATAATCATATTAAATTTATTGATTAGTTATACATATTTAAGTTGCTGATCAGACATATGTGAGAATATAGCCTGAATGATATAGATATGACCCAAGGTGCTGGCAACTTGTATGATAAATTTTCAATATGAATTTATAATAATGTTCATTGTTATTAATGAAAACCCAGCTCTTAAAGAAGCTTAGGAAAGAGGCACAAATGTAAATAAAATGACGTCAGCCATCAAATGGCTATGTAAATACTGCACAATAACAAGAGTGCCATGATGGCCCTGAGGTCGCTCACCTGTATATAGGCCCCTGGAGCAGGGCCAGTTTAAACCCCAGGGCTTTTATTTGAACAAACTTGGAAAACACCCATTAGAAGATGTTTCTTGATGTTAAGTTTTTACTACAAACATAAAATGAAAAACAATGACCTCTGCCCTCCCCCACCCCCACCCGGACCAATTTTTACCCAAGGGCTTTTATTTGAACAATCTTGGTAGACACCTATAAGAAGATGTTTCATGCAAAACATTTAAGCTCTAGCTCATTGGGTTTTTTAAAAGAAGATTTTTTAAGTTTTTACTATACACATATAGTATAAAACAATGACACCCCTGGGGCATGGCCAGTTTTGACCCCAGGGATTTTATTTAAACAAACTTTGTAGACACTTACCAGAAGATGTTTCATGCTTAATATCTAAACTCTAGCTATTTGGGTTTTTTCAAAGAAGATTTTTATGTTTTTTTTTCGGTTACCAGAGTTCTGCATGGAATTAAATTCTTTGAACAATTTTTAAAGGTGACCACCAAAGGAACAATCCTGTGAAGTTTGGATGAAATTGGCTTAGTGGTTTATGAGGAGATGTCATTTAAAGTAAAAGTTTACGGACGGACGGACGACGGCCGGACGCCGGACGAAAAGCGATCACAAAAGCTCATCCTGTCACTTTGTGACAGGTGAGCTAAAATGTAATTCAAGTATAATCTTATCATAACTTTTAACATTTATCTTTTAAAGTAATGATATTTAAAGCAAGAAATATGCCATTAGTTAGTGTTCTTGACCCTCACCACTGTGGATTCAAATCCCAACAAGTACTTTGTATCCTTTCAAGTGAGAAAGGAATTCTGTCAGCTTACTGGAGGTCAGTGGTACTACATAGGTGCCTAAAGGCAAAAGCTGAACTTGTCCACACTGTACCTTAATCTGCCAATGCAATAGCTTAATTTACCAACAAAATAGCTTAATCTCCTCACAAAATAACTTAATTCACCAAGATTGTTTAACTTACCACTCTGGTGGCCATTTGTTTCGGTCAATAAACTTGATGTTTTCAGGACTGAGTTTATGGAACAGTTTAAGGTACTTCTGTTTGATCACTAGGAAATGGTTGCACAGATATTTCACACACCAGTCACTCAGCAGTTCAGCATTGTGTAACTGTAAATATATATGTAAAATAAACTGTCATAAAAAGACTATATAAAGATTTACAAAAATATACAAGCTATGGCATCACTGCCCATTTTGCTCAACAGTCTACATGTGGACCCATACCTACTAGGTATGAGGTAGATATAACCTTAATTTGAGCCGCGTCATGACAAAACCAACACAATGGGTTTGCAACCAGCATGGATCCAAACCAGCCTGTGGATCCGCGCAGTCTGATCAGGATCCATGCTGTTCGCTATCAGTTTCTCTACTTGTTATAGGGTTTGTAAGCGAACAGCATGGATCCTGATCAGACTGTGAGGATGCGCAGGCTGGTCTGGATCCATGCTCGTCACAAACCCATTATGTTGGTTTTGTCGTGACGCAAATAAACAATCCTATGCAGAGAGGTTTATACTTAGTTACAAGTTAATTATTAAAATCCTGGCGGATTGCATCTTTCAAATATAAAATATGGATTTTTTCTCAATTGCTGACATTTTAACTTTGCTTTAGTAAGCTACAACAATTTTCTACAGTTGAAAATTATGAAATGTATTGGTTTAAACATATTTATTTAAGCTCGATTGCGAAACAAGTTCTTGCAACTTATATTAATCACTTTCGAGTCCACTTCCTGGAACCAACCAGTACTGGTGTCATATGGAGAAACATGGTCGTGACCCGAGTAGGGCTCGAACCCATGATCTCTGGGTTGAGAGGCAGACACCTTAACCACTAGGCCACCGCTCCCCTTGAAATGTATTGAACCCTTATTCTGTTGGAATAGAATGTGATTAGCCTTTGTCACCAATCTTGCACAGCTCTTGACAGTTTGTAGCTGAATTTAATTATTTTGATATAAAAATCCCTTAAACTTAAAATGGTCTGTTCCAGATTCAATGCAGGGCAAATTAATCACAAAAAGGTAGCAAAATTAAAAACAAACTAACCTGAGCTGGTTCCAGCAGTTTAATGACATCCTCAATGATATCCTCACCATCTTTGTCAGCCTCGGTCAGATCCTCGCAAACCCTCGCCTCAACCAACCGTACCAGCCTTGGCAAGCAGAATCTATTAGCAGCTTCAATAATGCCGAGACAGTTCAGCGTAGCACCACTTGTGCACTCACCGGTGTACAGGAACTCTCGGATGGCATAGAACACATCCCTTGAGACTCCAGGCAATACAATCTACAATACAAGCTTCAATCTACAATACAAGCTTCAATCTACAATACAAGCTACAATCTACAATAAAAGCTTCAATCTACAATAAAAGCTTCAATCTACAATACAAGCTTCAATCTACAATACAAGCTTCAATCTACAATACAAGCTTCAATCTACAATACAAGATTCAATCTACAATACAAGCTTCAATCTACAATACAAGCTTCAATCTACAATACAAGATTCAATCTACAATACAAGATTCAATCTACAATACAAGCTTCAATCTACAATACAAGCTTCAATCTACAATACAAGCTTCAATCTACAATATTCAATCAACAATACAAGCTTCAATCTACAATACAAGCTTCAATCTGCAACAATACAAGCTTCAATCTGCAATATTCAATCTACAATACAAGCTTCAGTCTACAATACAAGCTTCAATCTACAAGCTTCAATCTACAATACAAGCTTCAATCTACAATACAAGCTTCAATCTACAATATTCAATCAACAATACAAGCTTCAATCTACAATACAAGCTTCAATCTACAATACTCAATCTACAATATTCAATCTACAATACAAGCTTCAATCTGCAATATTCAATCTACAATACAAGCTTCAATCTGCAATATTCAATCTACAATATTCAATCTACAATACAAGCTTCAATCTGCAATATTGAATCCACAATACAAGATTCAATCTACAATACAAGCTTCAATCTGAAATATTCAATCTACAATACAAGCTTCAATCTACAATACAAGCTTCAATCTACAATATTCAATCAACAATACAAGCTTCAATCTACAATACAAGCTTCAATCTACAATATTCAATCAACAATACAAGCTTCAATCTACAATACAAGCTTCAATCTACAATATTCAATCAACATTACAAGCTTCAATCTACAATACAAGCTTCAATCTGCAATATTCAATCAACAATACAAGCTTCAATCTACAATACAAGCTTCAATCTGCAATATTAAATCTACAATATTCAATCTACAATACAAGCTTCAATCTGCAATATTCAATCTACAATACAAGCTTCAATCTACAATATTCAATCAACAATACAAGCTTCAATCTACAATACAAGCTTCAATCTGCAATATTCAATCTACAATACAAGATTCAATCTACAATACAAGCTTCAATCTACAATATTCAATCAACAATACAAGCTTCAATCTACAATATAAGCTTCAATCTGCAATATTCAATCAACAATACAAGCTTCAATCTGCAATATTAAATCCACAATACAAGATTCAATCTGCAATATTCAATCAACAATACAAGCTTCAATCTACAATACAAGCTTCAATCTACAATACAAGCTTCAATCTGCAATATTCAATCTACAATACAAGATTCAATCTGCAATATTCAATCTACAATATTCAATCTACAATACAAGCTTCAATCTGCAATATTGAATCCACAATACAAGATTCAATCTACAATACAAGCTTCAATCTGAAATATTCAATCTACAATACAAGCTTCAATCTACAATACAAGCTTCAATCTACAATATTCAATCAACAATACAAGCTTCAATTTACAATACAAGCTTCAATCTGCAATATTCAATCTACAATACAATATTCAATCTACAATACAAGCTTCAGTCTACAATACAAGGTACAGTCTACAATACAAGCTACAATATAAGCAAAATTATCAAAAATCAAATTTTTGTAATACGATATTGTTCTTTTTTTGACTGATGTACACAAGCATGAAGCAGTGATTATAATAAGCTGTAATATTATCTCTCTTTGTCAAATACATTTACACATTCAGCCATATTCTGCAGTTAATAATTATATCTCTAGCATGAATCTTAAACACTGACCCACAACTATAACCTTAGCAACTTATCTTTTAGATTCAAAATAAGTACAAGTGCCCTCAGCAATTGAGGAGATATATTTTGCACTTGACATCATAACCTGGAATATTCTTAGTTAAAAACATGGGTGCAATTAGTCAGTAAAATCTCCATTCTATAGTTATCAGTCTTGAAAAGTAAACCACAACAACACATTTGCAGACAAACAAGAAACTTATACTCACTGAATCAGCTGAAGATTCCATGAAATTGTCATTGAACATGGCATACATCATTTCACATCGAGCCATTAACAACGGTTTGTGGGCACGTATTGCACCGTCATCCACTAGAAACCTCACATCTTAAATAAATATTGTTCTCTTTTAAGTCTAAAATCATTATCAATTCATTTACTTCATTCACTTAAATGATTACTGATTAGTATCTAGAACTTTCCATAAAAGTGCATGTAGAGTATAAGGAGTTGGCTTTTTTAGGGAGTTTGGTTTTACTTAGCACCAACACAGAAGAAGTCATATGACAACTATTGAAAAGTTTTCTTACATCAAAAAAGTTGAAGTCCCTACAGGATTTAAAACCACAACAAAGGTGGGCAACTGATTTGAAGTCAGTGACCCTTACCACTTGGCAGCTAATGTTGTGTTTGAGTAGTAAGAATTAGAAAGTAATGTTAAGGAGTATTGTATTAATCAGTATTGTATTCAGATATAAGATATAGAGGATATTGAATGATTGTAAGTTTTAAGTTTAATACTGAATTTATTGAATGATTTATAAAATAATATTATGCAAGCCTCTGGCGAGTATTATATTATTTTACCCAACAAGTTCAATAAACTTAGTATTAAACTTACATGAATTTAATATTCTATTTATCACATAACAAAAATAAAGACCATTTAAAGTGAATGAGAACCATTTTTTATTGACTCTATCTTTATATAAAGAAAATGACGTCACAGCAAAATATATGCACAGGCGTGCAATACCATTTTTACGAGTCATAAAAGCGGCACAAGTATGAGATAAAGCAACTTATATATGTGATGTGAGGCAACTATTGCTCTGAATTGAGACTTCAATCTTTGTTTACTTATATTTATTGCCAAAACTTGGAATTCAGGCTCAAAAATCACAAAAAAATGAAGCTACATAATAAAGAACAAAAAGCATGATGTATTGGAAGTAACAAGCCAAATATCAGGAGTAAATGACTCCCAGACTTCTACTCTAACTGAATAAACAATCTCTCACTTTGATCCACACATTCACAGCTTAAAGGGTAACTGATTTTTCATGTCAGAAATATAAATCATGAATCTCCCCATGATTTATTGATGGGGAAAACATTTGTATCTTACATATGACATGAAATCAAAACTGCTGCAATAGGTGGTCATTATAATTGATGAAAATTGTATTCATTAGTTAACATCATCATACAATAATTTTTACAATTTTGATCAATATACCTGTCAACCTTTCCTTTTTCAATGCGATTTCACGTAGTTTGCATTTCCTGTATTCTTTAAACTGTTTTTCTAACTCCATGTTCAAATACTCTTCACTTCCTGTCAAGTTTGATATCATCAATGCAAGATCTGTCAAATGCAGCAGTCCACATGCAACTAAAACCTCTTCGAAAGCATCAAAATCTTCACGTACTGACCCTGTATACAGGTATTCCAAGATGTACTGAAATGCCCGCGGAGTAATCTCATTTCTTAATGTAACGACAGTCTGATAAATTACCTCCCCTGGTTTAAATGGATTATCACATGCTTTGTTTTCTTCTATAGTTAAAAAGGCCGAGTGCACTAAAATTGAATAATCTTTTCTAGTGTTTATCATGTCTGGACCAATGGTGTCGGAACTTCTACGACATTTCGTATCGTTACTAGATGTTACATTTACATTTGAATTTCCATGAGATGATAGAGAACGCTTCAACACCTTGTTTGCATTGTCCGTAACTATTGCATCATTTCCTAAAAATAGATTTTCAAACACAATGGCACTAACAACTAAGCATATTTTATGTGCGCGGAAACATTGTCCACGAACAAGGAACACAACATCACCCTCCGACTGATTATGCAGCAGCTCGCACAAATCAACGTGTAATGTCTCTTCGGGAATTTCTATTTTTGGCAGCAGAAGTGGTGGTAATTTCATAGGTGCTTGTATCTGTGGGTACTGTACACGTCGCAAAAACGAGCTCCAAAAGCGTATTTTACGCTTTTCCACCATCGCAGCCCGTATAACGTTTAGAAAGACATCTTCGATACCATATTTGGTATAAACACTACATTCATAATAAGGTGCTCCAATTTCCTTGGCAACAGACCTTCCCATCTCAGGTGTTACAATGTCCTTCTCCTGAACAACTCTGAAATAAATACATCGTTACAAATCGCACCAGATGACAAAAGTGAGTTTAAGAAATTTAAAATCATCAACCAACCATGTAACACTTCCAATGTTTTATGTATTGCTGAATTTATTGTTTTTATCACTATTTTTACTAAGTAAAAAAAAGAGTAAGATTTATTATGACACAAGATCACTCAATTTTTATTGTAGTAATGTTTGCTTGATTTACATAATGTACTTTACTTGTTCACTTTACAATGTTTAACTAAATAAAACACCTTTTCATAACATTAAAAAGCTGCTTAAACTTCTTTCATTTAAATGAATACATGTGTCTGATACTCTTGCCTCAATATCAATAAACATTGTTTAAAGCTACTCTCCCACAAAAAATGGGTCTAAAACATCAACATATTTGTTTACAGTTATTAAATATGCATGGAAGTAAAATTTGCAGTTTTCACAAGATAACTGTGAACTAACAGTTGTTATGTTTCGCTTGACACAAATATCAACAACCCTTTTATCACACCTGTGAACATGTTGCGAGTAGGACATCTTGATGCAGGTAGAACTTACTATATAAATGTCAGTTTTAAAACGAATTACCACAACCAACGGATCTACTTGCAACCAGTTAACGGGTGTGTGAATAATTTAAGCCAATATTTACAAAATAAAATGTGCAACGGTTAAAAATGACAGCATCAGAAACATAGCAAAAACTTTCTTTTCCTTTTTTCTTCGGACAGGAAATGCATTTAATCATCATATAAATGCACAAGCCTGTGGTGAAATTTTATCTTTTGATGGAAAATGTTTTAAAAACACCCAACTACAATATGTGGGGTAGTAGCTTTAATATCTCTATTGATTCAATTTTTTCAAGTTTACTTAGAAAAAATCTTCAATATAAACATACGGTCACTCTATATTATACGGCAACTCATGTAATATCAAACTTGTCTCCTTTAATTAAAGTTGGATAAGAGAGGACCTGTGGCATTGTTTTTAAGGTGTCTCCCTCTCAACCCAGCAACCCAAGGATCATTGGTTTGAGCCTTACTAGGGTCACAACCATGTTTCTTTGTATGACACCAGTACTACTAGCTAGTTCCAGGAAGCCTATCCCAAAGTGATGAATGTTTCAAGAGCTTGCTTCGCAATCAAGCTAATAAATATGTTTAAACTAAAAATAGAAAAAGCACAGTGACAATATGACATACTTGTACATCAATCCTTTATGAATCTTTTGATAGTGCTCGTCCCTATATAGATACCGTAAATCAGTCTGACAGCCTACAACAACCACTGGGGTCGTTGGTGCTCGTCGTCGGATCTCGGGAATCCAAATTTTGCGTAGATTGTTGAGTGACCGTGGCATCGCCACACTATAGCACAGTAAGATGACATCTGCCCTTTTAAAATAGAACAGAAAACAGTCATAAGCAAATCTGGTATTATACTTCAAAAATTGCAAGTTGTATTTAGCTTCATGTTTCCATAACAGGAAAAACTTTAAACATATGTGCTATTACATTTTAATTAAAGCCTTGCACCTTAAAGGAATGGCCTTGACCTATGACCTTTAAGTGGGACTTGCAGTTTGAACTGATCAAGGTGCATGCATCTGTGGAGCTTGGAAGCTGAAGAGATTCCATTAAAATGTCAATGTAAAACAAACAGACAAAAAATAACACTGCTTTCATAATCTATTGATCTGGCAGCATAAATAATCAAACTTTAAATACATATCATAAAAGATTAAGAAGATGTATAAATATTCATGATACATTCAAGCTTTGCATGAATAAATTTCAATTAACTTGTTTCAGTATCATTTCTCTGTTTAACAAAAATTAAGAAAATTTACTGTATATATAAGTTATAAGTATACATGTATTGTATATAAAACTAAATGAGCCGCGTCATGACAAAAACCAACATAATGGGTTTGCAACCAGCATGGATCCAGACCAGCCTGCGCATCCGCGCAGTCTGATCAGGACCAATGCTGTTCGCTTACAAACTCTATAACAAGTAGAGAAACCAAAAGTGAACAGCATGGATCCTGATCAGACTGCGCGGTAGCGCAGGCTGGTCTGGATCCATGCTTGTCGCAAACCCATTATGTTGGTTTTGTCGTGACACGGCTCAAATGTAAGACACAACAACAAACATATCCCCCATTCCACTAAGCTACAGGCTTCATATTATTGATAGTTACCCTTTGTAAGCAAATCCTCTGTCTTTGTCATGGTAACCAAATGTGTCCCATAATCTCAAGGCAACATAACCGCCATCTATAGACACCACTGATTTCTCCAGTATCTAAATACAAAAATGTAATACATTATAGATATATAAAACTTAGTTCATTTCTAAAATATACACTTTATCATTAATTTTGTCGTAAATAGTTTTGGCAATCAAACATCACCTTGTTAACTACCAGAAGGATAGTAGCTCAAATATACAAATGCTGACTACTAGCAGTGCCCATTCTAAAATGTTATCAGTAAAGTAAGATTTATTCCTTGGTTGTTTAACAGATCAGAAAGAAAAGGTGTGAATGACTATTTCAAACCAGTAAACTAACTAACTAATTTAGGAGTGGTACCTAAGTTTTGTTGGTTTGAGCCTTACATTGTACTATGATCACGACCATGTTCTATCATAAGACATGATGGGTGTTTCTCAATTCTAGGAAGTGAACTCTAAGAGTAAGAGTGGTTCAATTTAGCTTTGAAGCAGACTTCAGAGTGGTCCAATTAATTAAGCTCTAACTTCTTTTATATCACAATTAAGATATGATATTAATATGTTTATACTTACCATATACATGTATGTGCTTATTAAATATTTCACAAGGATTAGAAATAACAGTAAAATTGGGAACATTATAATCCTTTCAAAAGAGACCTATTATAAATAAGAGTGTATATTTACTATATTATAAAGTAAGTACTAACCTCTGGATCTTTCCGGTAGTGGTCATGGGCCCACACTGTGGAGACATGAGTCTTCACCAGCTGCTCTAGATTATAATGAGTATTACACGCCCATGCTGTTATCAGATGGGTCTTTCCGACACCACTGTCACCAATAACAACACATTTAATATATTCATTTAGCACCGTCGGTGGGTACAGCATACATGGCACCTGTTCCCGTTTCCGCTCAGGGATTGGGGACTCTTCAACATCAAACATCGAAAAAGGTCATTATCTTCCAAAAGTGCGAAAAGCTGAAAAGTACAAAAGTTAATACATTAAAATTATGTAAACGGTCAATTTGCTTACTTAATAATTTTTAAAGATAATGGATATCGACTGATAGTCATGCCATAGAAAACTAGAAATGTGTCCATAGGACACGAATGCCTCCACAAGCCACTGTTCTGTCAATCTTATGACTCTAGGTCAAATATTTTTTGGACTACATGTGCCACAAGTTGAAAACTAAAAATCAACAAAGGGCCATAATTCTGTTAAATTTGGTCGCAGCAAAAATTCCTTCCTTTACTACCATCTACACATTAAGGTTGTTCATCCCTGGAAGTTTAAGCAAAACCTGCCATCCGGTTTAAGAGGTGTTGCGTTCACAAAATTTCTACATAGTATATAGTGAAAAAATCAACAAAGGGCCATAATTCTGTTAAATTTGGTCGCAGCAAAAATTCCTCCCTATACTACCATCTACACATTAAAGTTGTTCATCCCTGGAAGTTTAAGCAAAATCTGCCATCCGGTTTAAGAGGAGTTGCGTTCACAATATTTCTACATAGTATATAGTGAAAAAATCAACAAAGGGCCATAATTCTGTTAAATTTGGTCGCAGCAAAAATTCCTTCCTGTACTACCATCTACACATTAAGGTTGTTCATCCCTGGAAGTTTAATCAAAATCTGCCATCCAGTTTAAGAGGAGTTGCGTTCACAAGATTTTGGGACGTACGGACAGACTAATGTTCTCACAGGACAGTAATTATGTGGCTACTCTATTGTTCTCTCTATTGTTCTTTTTAGCCACACAAAAGAAAATAGCCACATAAAAGCATTATGGAATGAATGACATCAAAGAGAAAGAACAGTTACCTATTGTCCCTTTGGCACATAATTACGCTCCTGTGAGTGCAGACGGACAGACGTTACGGACACTCGGACGGACAAGTGCAACACTATATGCTCCCACTCTGTGGGGGCATAACAATTGCAACAGATATCTGTCACAAAAGCTCTACCTGGTCAGGTGAGGTGAAATGTGTAGAAATGGCAAGCGACAATTCAACATATGTGAACAGAAGTTTGACATTGATATAGTTATTAAATTATGTCTGGACTATATTACAGTCATAAACAACCTTGAAATATTTTCAAAATACAAAATGTGAATAATAATATTGTTTCTAAAAATTTCTTCCCAATTTAATGCTACATGAATGTTTGTAGAAAGACAAAATAGTTTAATATAACAAACAAAAAGTTGCAAAATGAAAGCATTTATAGCCAGTATAAAGGTTTGTAGAACAACGACAGTGATCAAGTAATATCTTATATCTCGCCATGAAACATTCAAGCTGTTACAGTTTGACATAACACAGCCATTTCAATCAAGGTTCAACTTATAAAATATTACTTTTCGGGCATTATGACAGCAATTTAAATAAACAATTTATAGCACAATTAATTCACACATCACTGAAATAGTAAACACAGGTTTTTGTTTAATATACATTAAAACATGTGAAATTCATAAAAAAAGTTGTTATAGACAGGTAATTACAAAACTCAAATTAAACACAAACATACATTCACTCTTCTTTATAGTGAATAAAGCTAAATATCTGCTGTTTGTAGTTCACTCTTTTTTTAATTTTGACTCAGAATAATTCCAAAATACCTGCTTGAAAGAAATATGTTGGAATATGTCTTAAGAGGCAAAGGTGCATGCACAAAATCATTGCTAAACAAATAAAACACTGAAAAAAATACTGAAAATAGCAGCTTAATAGTTTACAATATATGTGTAAATAGACACATTCTATGTCAATTCTATGTCACAATTCTTTCGAGAATCTGCAAATAAACATAGTTTTCTGTTTATTAAATCTATAGAGATATTTTAAGTTATATAGTTTATAGCCTTAAATACAATGTGAGTTAGCCTTAACCCCGTTTGGAACCCAAATTGATTAGCCTTTACAACCAATACATAACCAGACCAGTCTGTACCATCACCAAAATTGATAATGGGGGCCAGTCAAAAAAAGCTCAGCTCAAGCCAATTTAAGACAGAAATTAGAACCCTAGCAACATGGTATAAATTCCAGAGATAATGACATGTCCCTATGGAAAGTTCAAAAACCCCTAAGTTGATTATGGAAAGATTGAAATGCAAAACAAGTCAATTAAGTCTATTTATATGAATTTCAGTATGTTAAGGGTGTAAAACAAACAGGTTAATGATTATGAGTCAGTCACCTTTGATGACCTGGTAAAGTAAATAATACACCAACAAGTTTTATGGCCTCAGAATTACATGTACTACAAAATACATGTAAGTGATTGTAACTTTCAACTTTATCACTCATGAAGAGCTTAAAAATTTAAAAAGACTAAGCTTATAAAGAAGATGCTCTCCTAAATTTCTGTTTTTGTGGTTTGACTTTAAGACACGCACACACAAAGGAGATATTTCAGCTTTTCTGAAGGATGAAGACCTAAGGTGTCAGGCAAAAACAGGCCCTCTGGCAGCAGAACATTCACATTTTTTCGAAAACTTATGATGCAAAAATAATCTTTAATCTCTGGCTCAAGGATTTATACCTACAGCATTGAGTGGTACAGCATCTTAAACCACTGTTGGCCAATTTAGGCCCATTTGAACTTTCTTATCTAACTGACTAAATTGATACAAATCATAACATGCCCTAACATAGACATGAACAAAGAAAGTAAGCAACAACAGTACAATCAACTAAAAACCTACTACAGGTATAAATGAATCAGTGTACTTACGTTTGTTTTGCCTAATTAACATTAAATGTCAATTTTTCTATTTCACAAAAAGTAAAAAAGCAACAACAAAAATGTTCACCTGTCTATATCTACATAGTAGTCACCAACAAAATATTCACAAACTGGAGGAAACTAGTACAATGGAATAAAGCCTTCCTCAATTTACTGCTTCTCGTTCTTTGTTAGAATTTTTTTTTATCCCCCCAAAAAATCTACACTATCAAATAACATTAACTTATTCAATTTCCTATTTCCTTTCACTCACAAGGAAAACACAAACTTTCAAAAATTGTAACAACATGTTGCGTAAATTAAGTGTATAACTTGTATCATATTTGCATTCCCCATCCATTAGTGATTAATCAACACTAGTTTGACATACTGGAATGCAAAATGCACAGATTTTAATATTTTATCTAGTAAACTTGTAAACAAATTCATTTACAAATGATAGAACATGTGTTGACAAATGATAGAACATGTGTTGTTGCCCATAGGGGCTAAGTTCTTTGTATGGATATATATTATACACAATCATGATCAATGGGGGGCTGCAACAAATCACTGAACAAGAAGGCAAAAATGACTGTGTATCGCTCACCTGAATCAATATTAGATTTGTGTACATTATAAGGTTTTTCAAATTTTATTAAATTCTTTACAGGTATTGGCATACAGAGTTTACAGACTAAGTTTGGTAATGATAATGATATATCAACTGATTCACGACAGGGTTTTTTCCCCCTTCTTCTTTAACAGGGACCATTCAAGGGGAAATATCTTTAAAATCAGGCAAATTTGCCACAAAAATTTAATTTACATCAAGTTTCTTCTTCCCTTTTTGCAAATATACTGTTATTTTCCCCAAAATTAAAGGGAAGGGCCCATTCCCCTACCTATGAAATAAAGCCCAGCATGCAAAAAAGTTATACAGATGGTGTTTTTTTTTCTAACTCTATAAATCTTTACAAAGATACATGTAGAGGCAACCAAATTAACTTGTAACTTGTAAATTTATATTATGACTTTGATAGAGAACCATCATTCTGTATACTACAGATTAAGTTAAATTTCGTATTTATTCATCCATTGGTTAATGCAAAGAAGTCAAAAATTAAAATAATATTTGGTTTTTCTATTTTTTTCACTATCAGCCTAAGTGTCAGCTAAAAAGTCAAATAACATAATATTATATATTTACCTACAAAACAAGACATCAGTTATGAAGTTCAATGGAATTTAAAATACACAACAACATGACAGAATTATACCTTTTTTGATATACTGTCGGCCACTTTTAGTGTCCTTTCATATCTATTTTTCTTTCATTAACAGGTCACTGGTCTTCATATTTAAATTTGTACAATTATGTAGCTGTTGATGTACATGCACCGGTATATAATATCTTTGTTCTTTTCTATCTATCTTGCATTAATAAAATATTTGCAAAACAAAATTGGTTTCATGAAAATCCGAGATACTCAACACAACAACAAAACAGCAAAATTGAATATAACAGTTGACTATTCATAACTTTACAAGCTAAAAATAGTATTTTTTAATTGGATAAAGCTAAAAATATAATTGCTTATTGCACAAAGCCTCTAGGTATTTAGTATGCAAGCTATTCAGGAACATATGCATATCATAAATATAATTCTTAGCTTTATGCATTATGGCATCATGGTTACCATAGTGATATAAGAATTCTGTTTTCATACAGAAACATTACTGCCCAATGTAATAAGAATATAATTATGAGCATCATGAAAATTGATCTTTCATTTCACTGAAAAACTTGTTAACTATAGAAAAGGATACTGGTATATTTTCTGTGATATACTGATAAACATTTATTTTGTGTCCAGATTCTAGAAAAGCATCACTTTTAATGAATCACAAATACAATACAACTATTTGGCCAAGCATTTTCATTAAGGACTGAAGAATGCATGAATGCAGATTTAATTTATTTATGATGTACTTTGATCTTGAAAAGCACACAGACAACAAAATCTTTCAATTACTTTCTACTCATGCAGTATCTAAATTTTTGATTAAGCAATCATGGAGCATGGCAGACTTATATTACAAAACACTTAAACTTCAATTGAAACTGTATAACTAATAAAAATAAATAAAAACAGACTATTCATTAAGTGTTCTACAATATTCCTCGCTGTCTTAAAATAAACATATCTAAATAACAATTGCAAAGTAGATGCATAGTGGGGGGTGGGGTGGTGGGGGGGGGGGGGGGGGGGGTTAAAACCCACCAGGGACTGAAAGTCTTGAATGCAAGGAAGCTATCCAGCTAGCTTATAGAATTTCGGTGCCAAGTTGTGCATGGAAAGTCACCATAATTATGACCATTACTGATCTGTCAATGTGAATATCATAACTGCTCTGTTATATGATCTTTTATTTCACATTATGTGTTTACTGAATACTGTAACATCTAAACAGATTTATTTCATAAAGGAGCGAGAGAGAGCCGCCGCCCCACGTCAGACAAAACCAACAAGTGACGTTTGCGACCAACATGGGATCAGACCAGTGTGCGCGTACCGCGTAGTCCTGATCAAGGATCCAATCTGTTCGCAACCCAAACCATTACAAGTAGAGAAACGATAGCGAAACAGCATGATCCTAATCAGACTGCGCGGATGCGCAGGCTGGTCTGGATCCATCCTGGTCGCAAACGCATTACGTTGGTTTTGTCATGGCGCGGCTCAAATACAAAAAAGAAGAAAGAGGAACCAACATCAACAGCAGGTCAAATTTATTTCATAATTAGAATACATGTACTATACATGTACATCCTTGGTTTATTTTATTTAACATTCAATATAATGTACATTAAATCTTTTGGTTTATATTATTTCACATTTTATATTATTTTACTTCCATTTTAATATTCTGTACATTCTTTGTTAATTTTACTTCACTTTTACTATACTAACTACATTCTTGGCTAATTTTATTTCGCTTTTATTTATAACTGTATATATACACCCTTGATTAATTTAACTTCACTGTTGGTGAGTATTGTATTTCACATCATTGTAAATCCTTAGTTTATATTATTTCACATTTAAAATTTGTATATATACACATTTCATATTATATAAATCAATATATGTACAGTAGTTTATAACTACATATAAACATTGTAAAAAATAATCAATAGAAAATTCAAAAACATAAAACAAAGAGTTAACATATATAAGTTTAAGTTTATTTAAACATTTTTTTACTTTGCTTCCAAAAAATGTCATATTACTGCTTAAACTTATAAGCCAAACATTACTCATTTAATATCAAATATCACAAAACAACCCATAGAACACCATATGAAATATAAAATCAAGTTTTGTACAATACCTGTGCCTACACAATCTGGACTGTTACTAAAATGATTCACTGTAGATATACAATTTATTTTAACAATCTCTCCAATGCACCACAATCAAAAGATTTAATCGGCCCTCCTAATAACATCTATTGACAAATGCACAAAATTGTGAAAGTAATCTTATCTTTATATATGAACCATTCTGTTTGTTCTTGATCTATTGAGCCAATGTATCATTAACATTTAAACGGATTTTACCGTACTATATGCAAGATATGACACGATCCCTTTATCAACAAATTGGTTCTTAAATTTCACATTAAAATCGTGTAAAGTGCATTAGAGTTAAATGAAATAAATTTCCTTGCAAGATTACACAAAGAATGTGGCATTAAAGGAAATTCCCTAAATTGGTAAATTTCGTGTAGGTGATAAATTAAAGCAACAATATTTGTAAAATTTACAGTTTCGGTTTGATTTTTGGAAAGAAAACGGAGAGCTTTTAAAGCTTTGGGGTTTAAAAAACCCTGAAATTGTCCCTTTGCAAATTAAGCAAAAATTTGCATCCCAAGTAGAATCATTTGCAATAACTTAAGCAGAATTCTTGTCCTAGACAAGATTTATTTCAGCCACCTTAACCATCGGCCAAAGAGATCCTTGGCTCTGACGAAGCCACAAGGGAAAGTCCTTATTGTTGCAAGCCTTCCTTTTATCTAAACAAGTACAAGACTTCAGTCTAGGGACCAATTAATGGTTTCGCACACACACATAATGTTCAACTTACTGCACCGGAATTAATACCTGACAATCTACAATATATCAGACTTGAAAGCTAATTAAATCACCACTTTTTAACTTTTAGAATGAAAACAAGTGTTGGTTTCTTCAATAAAGTAAAAAAAGTTTTTAGTGTTAAAAGCTGTCAAGAACATGACTTTTTTTTGTGTATATAAAAACTTGATTAAACTGGCATTATCCGGTTCTATATAAAAACAAAATAGGCTTAAAGCATCAATTTACCCTCAATTTGAAAAAAATGTTTTAGCTTTCGTTACCAGTATAAAGGCAGGCGAGCTTGCAAATCCAAGCAGTCTGACAGCGCAAGATGGTAAGCTCAACTTTTGTACTTTGATTTTGAAATCCCTTAAACTTTGAATAGGCTGTTCCAAATTCAAAGATGGGCAAATCCATTTAACAAATTCAGCAGGTTACTGAGGTTATGAATTAAAGATTTAAAGCTGGTGTATAGCAGCTATTATAATAAAATGTTGGCATGCATCTCCCCTTGTAGTCATTGTTGTTAAGTTTGCCTTGCCCTTCAAGATCATTAAAAGATTCCCTAATACTTCTGATAATCTAAAAGTAGTTTCTCTTTTTATTATCCATATAATACAAACTTAGTATATCCAAGTCTATAGTTTACACTTTTTTTCCTGCACTTCAGGAATATTTATTTTTCCAGAGATAAAATTTTAAACAAATGGCATTCTTTTTTTTCTACTGATTTATTAATTAATTGACCATATTTATGAACTATTGAAAGATTTTTTTTTGGTTTAAAAGGCAAAAAATGCCTAAGGGTAAGATAATCTGAAATATAATTTATCTACTACATAACATTCTTCATTTTAAACTTGTGACCTCAAATCTCTTTTATGAGAAATTGTTGATATTTTTAAATCATCTTAAGTATTATTCAATAGATAAAATACCTGGACTAGTTCTCTACATCTCTCTTTTCCCATACATGTATATTATTAGCTTTTAAACACTTAAAGTGCAAATATTATGAAGATTTTATAAACATATCTTCAATGTCCTGTCTAGGTCAATATCTTAAAATGTTGGCCAATTCAACAATGTGGCCTTAACCACCGTGACTTTTTGGGTACTGGAAGCACGCCGATTTTCACACCGTTCAGGTTTTTTTTTTTATTCACTAACTTATTTTATTACTCAACCGATTTTCATCAGA